AGAGAGAGAGAGAGAGAGAGAGAGAGAGAGAGAGAGAGAGAGAGAGAGAGAGAGAGCGCCAGAGAGCTCTCTCTTCTTTGGAGACCTACCTCTGGCACACACACACACTGCCTGTGTGATGGAGACAGGTGGTAATTCTGACCTTGAACTTCTCTTCTGTGAAATGATGATAAGGCTGGGGGTGGGGTGTGATTTGTTGAGTGTCCACCCCCAACTCCCAGAAAGGAATGTCAGTAGAGAACACTATGGTTTAAGAGAGAGGCAGGTCCAGGACCAAAGCAGCTCTTAGCTACACTGAAGCTCCTGATTTTGAGTCAAGGCACTTAATACTAGACTGTTTGTCTGTGAAGAGGCAGCAGAAATACTGGGAAATCGAGGTACTCCATCTCAGCTTCAAATCTGGGTTATAGGATGTACACCATACTTAAATATTCTCACTCCCCCCAGACCCTCACAGTGTCTCACTACATAGACCAGGCTGGCCTCAAACTCATAGACCCAACTGCCTCTTCCTCAGGAATGTTGGGGTTGATGGAGTCTACCACACCTGGTACAGTAAATGTTCTTGATCAGCAAGAAACAAGCTGGTAAAAATAAAAATAAAACTGGGTGGTGGTGGTAGTGCAATTCTTCAATCACAGCACTAGGGAGGCAAAAGCAGGAAGATCTCTCTGAGTTGGAGGCCAGCCTGGTCTACAGAGCAAGTTCCAGGACAGCCAGGACTATACAGAGAAACCCTGTCTTGAAAAAACAAAAGGAAGAAAGAAGGATTTGGTTAAGACTACTTCAGCAAACCCCCTCCCCCCCACACACAACTATTTCAACATAGCCATTCTCATGAGGGATGCCTTGTGCTCTCCTCAACTCCTGGCTCACCCTGTCTCAGACCTGAGCCTTTCTGACATCCACTGACCCCTGAGCTCTGCCTCTGACATTTTCTGCCATTGAATTTTCTTCTCAGCTTGCTCTCTGGTTTTCCCATTGATTCGCCAAGTCTGTACCTGATAATTGACTTTCCAACACCATCCTTTGTAATTGACTCTCTTGGTCTTCTGTAGTTCTTTGAAGTAATCACAGTGTGATTAATTAATGCCCTGTACAACTGTGTGCTAATTATCTGCATTACCCACCGACTGTCTTATCAACTACATAAGGATGAGAACTCGTTTCTTTCCTATTTCTTCATGCTTGGCACTTAATAAATATGTGTTGAAACAGGAACAACCACCTGGTTTTGCTTTTAAGATTATGTTCCCAAGGGCAGGGACTGTTTCTGTATAAGGGTGGGGAGGTGTATGTACAGAGATGTGTGTACATGTTCATGTGTGTGTTAAGTTTCAAACCTAGGACAAGGCACTGAGGGAGTTCAATATGAAGACAAGGCTGCCTGCCATGCTGCAAACAGAATCAGCAGGCAGTGATGCACCTGCCTCTGCCTCCCTCTCTGCTGGGATTAAAGGGCTGTGCCACTGCCCAACTAACTAGGACTTCTTAAACGGACTACTATAATTCACATGCTTTGCCATATGCATCCAGAAAAGAGGAGACATTTGCAAATCTAGCCTTGTTTAAAATACTGACGGCGGCCCTAGTGTTATAAGCAGGCAGAAACCCACTGGGCACACCCTGGATTAGAACACAGTGAGCAAGCAGCACAGGAGAACATTCCTGCAGTCACTTGTGTTTAATGTAAAGCCAATCTCCTGTTCATCAAACATCAGACCAGGGGCGCTGCTGGCCTTCACTCAGAAGTCAGAGGGCTTTTCGGGATGGCTTTGATGACGAAGGACTTGTAAAGACACCCTGGAAGATGCAACCTTCTCTTTGCTCCAGGCAGATCTCCGCCAGGGCAAATAGTTAACCTTAGATGTGATAGGAGCTCACCCTTCAGAATTGAAAGCTGTTGAAGAATAAAAGTCATGACATGCGATTGCTTGGGGGGCCCTCACCTAAAATTTCAGAGAGAAGCATTGGGGGGTTGGGGGCTCTGTAATCCCCCCTACTTTCATAGGCACTGTAGGAGGGGCAGGGACACCTTTCTTGCCTTTGTTTGAGTTTTCTTTTAATCAGCTTTAACTAGAGAAGAGGGTTGACCAATGTCTACATTTGTTCATTGTTCCTGTGACTTCTCTTTTCATTTGTTCTTCATGTGTAAGCAGAGTGCTCCAGTTCTGACTTTGATCCTGCCTCCTGGGGTCCTCACACATACTTGTTCAGCCTACAGGACAAGGAACTGAGGGGAGTCCCTCAGAAAGGCAACGCTGCCACGCTGTAAAGCAGAATCAGCTGGCTGTGCAGCCCCACGGAGCCTGGAGACCCTGCTGTGAAGTTCCTGTCACATGCTCAATCATTCCACAAATGCTTATTGAACATTCACTAAGCACCATGCGTGTGGGAGAGACGTTGGGATCTGGAAGTGGACAGGGCAGGAAAAAAAATCCAAGTTATGACGATACTTACACGCAGCTATACTTTCATGGGAAAGAGACATAAATATGGACACATGTCACAGGAGAGAGAAGAGCCGTGAGAAAGATAAACCGGAAATGGAGAAGCATGTCCCAAGTGACTGAACACTAGCCAGAGCCCTGCCCTTCCTTTTGATCTTGTCCTTCTGTGCAAATAGGAAGCTTACAGATGCCCAGGAGCAGTGTTCCTGGCAGGTCCTGTGTTCCTACACTTGAACCAAAAGACTGAGAAGCAATTAACTGTCTACCTGATAATCTTCCTCCCATGACCCTAAGCTGAGCCCTGGGAGCCAGCCATGCTCTGATCTGTTCTCTTCTCCCTGGCTTCTTGCAGGTTCTTTGGAGCCTGTGTATATGTCTCCTGGTCTCAGCAGTGTAGCTGTCACACATGCTTAAAGCTGACCCATCACTTTTTCTAATTCCATGCTTCCATTATTATTAGACACTTGGACTTCCTTCATGGTATCTCTGAGGCTGGGTATGTGCCATGGGAATTACTTGACCCCATGAAAGTGAATCAGATACTTCAAACCTCAGTTTTCGTGTCTATAAAATGGGTCTGGTAGTATGCCTGCCCCAAATGGCTGTCAGGATCCTATGATATAACAGAACTGGTTTGCAGAGGCTTATGGGTGTGAGTCAGTAGGCACAGTGGGCTTGTGAGGGCCTGAGATAAGGCCAGCATGCCCCTCAAGGGGTACACCCTGATTGTCTCTTCCCTGTCCCGTGTCAGCCCCCCATCTCCACCCCTGACAGGCTGCCCCTCTCTGCTCCCCTTTTATCACAAAGCTTAACTCCTTGGAATCTTTGCCTCTGGCCACTTAATGAAAATGCTTTGACTGATCTGAGCTCTCCCCCTTCTTCTTTTCTCATCTGCCTCAGCCTCTCACAAGCAGACTGTTCAAAGAGAAGAGGGGTCTCGCTTGTCAGTCAAGACTGGAGAAGGCTGAGCAAGGGCTTGCAAGGCCCTTCAGTTTTAATGCCTGGCTTTGACAGACACTGTCTTACAGTCTCAG